TTGGAAACATGTCTTCTAACTCCGTATATCTTTAGCATACTGGAGTGCAAATCACAGTGTCTGGAGACTCTTACCTCAGTCTTCAAAGTTTTGGTATTCTGTGCCTCTTTTTTTGAAACTATTATAAAATAGAGGGAAAATATTTTTACATTAGAATACCCTATGTCCTACCTGAATAAGCATAAAAAGCATCTATGTTTTAAAGCACACCTGGGTAATTCACACAGCCTTTTAGATTCAGGAGAGGCTGATAATTGAACGGAAGAGTTTTGTTAACAGCAACAAATGTGACAGAAGTGGAAATGTTGGTCTATTTTTGGATTTCCTCTGTGTTTGCTTTGAATTTATCTACTGATCTAATCTCTAACCGTCTGTGTTCAGGAAGCCGCCAGGCAATGCTGTGCTTGTCAGAATCGTCCAGACTCCTCAAACTCATTTCAGGGAGAGAGCATTTCAGCACCCTGGAGGAAGATTTTTAAGGAATACAGGATTTTTGTAAAAATAAAAGGATGACTAGAGGTAGGGCACTTACATAACCGTGTTTTCAGATGAAAAGCAAGCATTGACAGCTGTGGCTAGGACTCTTCAGTGATGGAAGCTGAGAACGGAGCTTGTTGAGAAGGGCATTGTGCTTTGTTTGCTCTGTGGAACTTGAAGTTTAGGTTTTGTTTTAAGGCAGCACTCCGTATGTAGGCACAGCTGGTACTGGGATACTTGGCAGATTCAGATTCAGTAAGATTCAAATCTTATTCAGACATACCATATTGAGTTTTGTGGTTTGTTTTCTTCTTTTACATTCTCACAATTCCCAACACTGGTTTAAGTCCATGAGCAATGTTCTCCCACCCACTCTGTCTCACCTGGCAGTACCTTCTAGTGGGGACTAAAGATGCTAGTCCTAGGTGAGGTCCTCAGTGGCTAGGTGCATAGCTGGGCATGTTAATTTGCCTGGCACCTGTGTGGTGTCTTCTTGGCAGTGCTCCTCCAGCTGTCTGCTCAGGCTGAATTCAGATGAGGGGCATTTGTTTTCCTGTCCCATTCTACTAGTGGGTGACATGCTTTATGATGCAGCCCATAAAGCTCCTTGATCCCTAGAGCAGGAGGGAGTAGGGGAGCTGTGCCAGGCGGGCGTTAGAACTTCTGTCTTAACACTGAGATCCTGCTCCTCTGCCATTCCTCCTTCTCCAGCTTTCAGGTGGCCTGCCCTGTCCCCTCACACTGAAGATGCTCCACCTCTGGCAACCACTAATCTGCTCTATCTATGAGCTTGGTTTTTTCTTGGAATTTTATTTTAAACTGGATTAATCATTTTTAGGTACACTTTTTTAAAAATAAAAGATACTATAAATCAGATTTAAAATATGCTGAGGCTCAATGATGAAAGTATAAAATAGAGATAACTTATAATTCTGTAGTATTCCATGTGACTTTTAAAGGAATCACATCTACCTCAGTGTCTTTGATTATGTCAAATATTATTTGCACCCCAGATCTCTCTGAGCTACTGCCTACTCAACAAACATCTCTACTTCAAAGGCCCAAACAGCTCTCAGTGTGTCCAAGCCAAACTCCTGGCCCCACTCTGACAGCCTCCAAGCTCTTTTGCTAGTATTTCCTGGGTGTCACTGAATGGTAATATATCTTGTCTTTCCATGAGTTAAATTGTCTTCAATTGATACCTCCTTTGACTTCAGTCCTACAGTCAGCCAAGGACTGAGACTTATCAATTTTATCCCATTTTCTTTCTTAAATATTATATATTTCTCTTACTGTTCATTACCCTAGCCGAAGGCCCCAGAATTTTTACCCCCTTGCAGTATTTCTCCATATTGCATTTGCTCTGTGCTCAGTTATGCCACAGTAGGTTACAGTGAAATGAGGTCATCTAATTATTATTTGTATCACTCGCATAATATACATAGAGCTATTTATTAGAAGACTAAATAGGTCATGGGAAGTGGTTTGATATTATAGTTGTAAAGATTCAAAATATTTATTTTTATTTTTATTTTTTTTAATTTTTATTTATTTATGATAGTCACACACAGAGAGAGAGAGAGAGAGAGAGAGAGGCAGAGACATAGGCAGAGGGAGAAGCAGGCTCCATGCACCGGGAGCCCGACGTGGGATTCGATCCCGGGTCTCTAGGATCGCACCCTGGGCCAAAGGCAGGCACCAAACTGCTGCGCCACCCAGGGATCCCCAAAATATTTTTAAAACAATGGGATTTATGAAATTGAAAAATACAAAATAACTCAGTTGGAGTTTAAATCAGTGTATTTCACTTGTGTTTGGATTATAGGTTATTGAGAAGAAAACCTTGACTTAAACAAGTTAGTAGTGATGAATGAGAATTTGAAACACTTAGTTGAGTTAAACTGTCCTGGAAGCCTGGAAGAGAAGCAGAAGGAAATTTGTGTTTCAGAGTTGAGTTACTAACAGTATCTAACAATTTGTCTAATTTCTTAATTTTGCAGATTTAAAATTTATAGAAAGTATGTAAAGTGGTTCTTCATGAGTTTGAAACTTTGCACGGAAAATATAATATTGCAGTATTTAACAGCATCATTTAAAAAATTCTCAGGTGCCTTTGTGGCTATCTCTGTTGACTATTCACTGTTTCAAGGGAAATTTCTTGTTTTATATGTTCTCAGATTCTCCAACACCAACTTGGCATCAATAGTTCAGTTAATTCTGACTAACCATAGTTTCCATGGGCCCCACAAATTAAGTGCTTATTTCCACAAGACTCTGAGCCTCCCTTCCCACCAACTTCATTCAAATGCCAGTTGCATATACAATGCAACAGTACAATTTCAGTACTTCCGACCAACTGGCTGTAAATGTGCAGGTTGCTACAGCCCTCCTCTTCAGATTTGGTAATTTGTTTAGATGATTCTCAGAACTCAGGGTACAAAGGACAAAGTGGGGTGAAGGTGCAGAGCATCTCTGCCCTCTCCTCTCTGGGTATACCACCTCTCCAGCACTTTGAGGAGGTCAGCAACCTGTAAGCTTCCCAGGCCCTGTTGTTTAGGAGTTTTTATGTAGGTTTTATTACATGGGCATGGTTGATAAATCATTGGCTATTGGTGATTAGACTTCACTTCCCGTTTCTTTCCTCCCCTGAGGTGAGGGTAAGGTGGGGCTGAAAGTTCCAATCCCAGCATCCTGGCTTGGCCTTTCCAGTGACCAGCTCTCATCCTGAAGCTACCTAGGGGAAGAGAGAATCCGAAGCAGGCTCCATGCCCACCACCGAGCCCAGTGTGATGAGGGGCACCATCTCATGACCCTGAGATCATGACCTGAGCCAAAGTCAGGAGTCCAATGCGTACCCCGCTGAGCCATACAGGCACCCCTTTCTATTTTTAAGAAGACATTCTTTTGAAATATGTTAAAGCAAATCCAAGATATCATGTGTTGAGAGCTTTTTAAAGAGTACCGTATTTGGGGATCCTTGGGTGGCTCAGTGGTTTAGCACCTGCCTTCGGCCCAGGACGTGATCCTGGAGTCCCGGGATCGAGTCCCACATTGGGCTCCCTGCATGGAGCCTGCTTCTCCCTCTGCCTGGGTCTCTGTCTTTCTCTCTCTTTCCGTGTCTCTCATGAATAAATAAATAAAATCTTTTTTAAAAAACTATAGTATTAATAACAGTTAAATGTACATTTGAAAACAGAAACAGAACGGACATTGGACATTGGTAGAGTGTCTGAAGCATCTGTGCAGAACAGTTTATAAGGCACTGCCCTAATTCTAGTCATAAAGGAGTCATGCAAAAATATATCCAAGTGCTCTAAAAAACTTTTCTTGTCCTCAGTTTTTTGATCCTGGATGAGGATTAGGGTTAGAGGGCATCACGGAGTTCCTTTTAAAATCCCAAGATACCATGATCATACCAATTTATTTGGTTTTTGCTGCTGTTCTTCTATAGTTCAGGTATATAACTCAGGAAAACACTATCTTAGTTTGTGCTTTAAAGAAATACCCTCATGTACACCTTCCTAATTCCAGCATTTCTTCTAATAAAACCCAAGTTAAAGAGGATCTTCGTTTTTCACAAGTGCTTTGAATACCTGGCCCAGCTCAGTGACAGAGCTAAAGAACAAATAGCTTTATTATTGTATGATTCCTATCTTAGTAAAATAAGGATTATTTGTTTGTTATTGTTGTATGTGTTGTTTTTAAATAGCCTCATTTTTTTTAAGTCTTATTAAATCCAGTTGATTTTTCTTTTTTGAGTAAGCTCTATGCCCAGCTTGACCCTGAGTTGTATGTTCTACCAACTGAGCCAGCGAGGTACCTCAGGACTATTTGTTTTTTAAGCTATTTCTGTATTTGATTTTTCAAATTAGTTTTTTTATTTGTTTTTTTCAGGTTTTTTTAAGTCTACAGAGAAGTTCCTCTGAGCAGGCCATGGCGGGTAGGCCATGGTGGGTTTTTCATTTAATTTTGGTTCAATAATTTAAACATTATTCTAGGGAAGAGGGAATACTAGTTTTTGACATCCAAAGATGAAAATCTGTTTACTAAAAAAAAAAAAAAAAAAAAAAAAAAAAATCTGTTTACTGCATAACATTCAGACCCTGAAGCTGTCAAGAAGTGCCTGGAAACTGTGGTGCCAGTTCTGACCCCTCTACCTACACTGGCAGCATCTCACGTTTTTTCCAAACCAGTTATTTTAACCTAAGGAATTTTAATAATCACATTAATATGCTTTGCAATAGTCTCTCGATCTATTTAGCTCTTTCTTCAATAGCTCTATTTTGTATAATTATTGTTTGTATAACTGATATGAAACGCGTATACAATTTGGGATATGAAAATTTATTTAGAGTGTAGTACTAGCTGTTTCCTTTTAGACTGCTCTGCTGACCTTGCTGAACCTTAATAAAAGCAAAGAGGGAGGAACTTGCTGCTGGTCTATGTGAATTCAGCTAGTAGAGAATATTTACACATGCCAAAAAGATAAGTCTTTAATAGATGGCCTTTGTGTTTTGTTTTAGAATCACAAGAAGTTGATGAACAGCTGGTAGCAGAAGTGGTTGAAAAATGTTCATCTGAAACTTGTTCTAGAACCTCAGAAAATGAGGTAGCACAGCAGGCTGTTGATTCTTACTTGGTCAAGGATTTCAAAGAAGAACCTGAACATGATAGTAGCAGAATTTCGGTAGTGAGGCCATTTTCAATAGAAGCCAAGAATTCCACGGATATCCCAGCAGCTCTAGGCACAAGGGCAGCTTATGGCTGTGTAACTGTGGTCTCGGGGGAGGCTTCGCCCTCTAGCATACCAGAAGCCATCCTGGACAAGGCAATGACAGAAGGCACCATGGGAGTTACACTGGAAACTTCCACAGAAGCTGATCTAAAGGCTGGCAGCTCCTCTCCAGAGCCTGTTCCCAGCAGAAGCAAGCTAAGAAAACCCAAACCCGTCCCTCTGAGGAAGAAGACAATCGGTGAATTCTTAGAAACTGATATTGCCCTAGAGGGCACGCCTCTCCCCCAGGCATCCTATCAATTCTGTCCTGATGAGATGGATGGGAACACAAGTTCTTTGCTAGAAGGTGCCAGGATCCCGAAATCTCCCCCTGATACTAAGGAAACATCAAGCACTCCCAGCAGTGACACCAACGATTCAGGAGTTGAGCTGCTAGAGGAGTCGAGGAATTCACCTCTGAAACTAGAGTTTGATTTCACAGAAGATGTGGAAAATATAGAGTCCAGGAAAGGCCTTCCAAGGAAACTTGGCAGGAAACTGGGTAGCAAACTGCCTCCCAAGGTACAGAAAGATAGCATCAATAAGCCAGTAGGTGCCAAAGGTGTGGACCAGCCTGCAAACCCAGCTGCAGACAGTGCTCCTCCCTCCCAGGCATCTCCTAAGCTGGATCCCAGCCAGTGGGATAGCCCCAACTTCAACCCCTTTGGGGGCCACTCCACTCTGCAGAACTCCCCCCTTCTCTCCTCTAAGGGCTCCTACCACTTTGACGAATCCATGGATCCCTTTAAACCAACTACAACATTAGCAAGCAGTGACTTTTGTTCTCCTGCCGGTAATCATATTAATGAAATCTTAGAATCACCTAAGAAGGCAAAGTCGCGTTTAATAACGTGAGTGACGACGGGGGTGGGTGTTGTGTTCTGTGTACTCTCTGAGTTTGACAGCTGGCTGCTCTTGTCTTGGCCAACTGAAGTTACCCTTGAGGTGCATCAGGGGCAGGCATACAGCTTATAGCTTTATGTGGTAGTCCTCACTATTTTGCTTAACTTTGGTGTACAGTCAGAAATACCAGAGGTTTCCCTTTCAGGTGTCTGCCTTATTTTTGAATCCTCAGTTTATTCAGCTGACCTCTCCTACCTCCACTTGGGTACTTTTCCCCTCTTTAAAAAAAAAAATGTAGGCTAGGTAGAGATTTGATGGTTTTCAGAAATCCTATCTGGGCTGTCAGGAATTACTTTACATACAGAATTCAAGTGTCAGTGCTAGCCACCATCTTCATATTCTCTGGATAAAACAAAAATTCCAAGCCTCCCCATTACCTATCTAGTATTAGTAACATGTGCAAAGTGGTCCGGAAAGGTCTTCTAGAAGTCTTTCACTTAAAACGGAAAGCTGTGATTTTTACTGGGAAACAGACCTATGGCTGAAAGTTGGTAAGAATTCTTTGCCTCCGTGTTTAGCTTCTAGCTCCATCAGTAAGGCAGTAAATTTCCAATAAAAATCAATATTTTAAACAGTCGTATAAATCTAACTAAATTAGTGTTTTGTTGTGTGTTGTCTCCCCCTCCCCGTTTCTGAGACTTCTATAGCCATTTTTGCAAGGTCCTTAGAGTTCTCGGAGTGACCAAGCCATATTCCATGTAAAGTTTCAGTTTAAATTTGTTACAGGGTTACCTTTTCATAGAACTTGTGTTGATGACAATATAGCCCCTTGTGACCCTGTGACGTTTTACTAAAAATGAGATATAAAGAAGGACCAATGACATAGAGGATGGAATGTGAAAAGGGAGGATGAGAAGTACCATTATTTCCAGCCGTCACCATAGATGAGTCAGGAAAATAACAGTCAGCATTACTGTGTCCTGACAGAACAGGCTAGGTGGCATAATGAATTACACTAGGGAGAAAAGTATAAGGAGCAGAAAGTATCAGGACCAAGAAACTTGAGCCATGAGAAACCAGTTCCTCAGCAGCCCCAGAATGTCTAAGGTGAATGAAATGCAAGTAGTAGTTCTTGATCTGTTCTTTGATTATATATGAGCAGTTAAATAGTTGCTAAAAAGTATGACTGGGGGTCCTCAGTGCTCTTCTGTGACTGAGGTTAGTTACCTTTGTCTAGATGGTGCTTCGAGTATGTGTTGGCTCCGTCGTCGCCTTGGTGTTTCATAACGTGGGATGTACGAAATACAGGGTGCTTTTGGCTAGCAAGGCTGATAAGGAGTCATTGGGAGCCTCCCCTTCAGTTGCATGTCGAACCTGTGTAGTCAGGGCAGTCCTGTTAGATAAGATTAAGTCTGGACCAAAAGGAGGGAAGTTTTTCCTACACCTAATTTTAGTAGTAAGAAGTACCCTCTCAAGACCTGCCACCCTCATGTGGTAGCAGTTTCCTCCTGTTCTGTTCTTGGGGAGTGCACTTCTTGATTTAATAATACCTTACAGACTTTTGTAAAAACTCTTATGAAATTAAAACTCTTGTTCTTTCTGTAAGAGAAGAGTGCTCCACCTTTCGTGTAACCATGGGATTTTGTTTAGAAAAATCCGTCTGTTGGCAGGAAGGACTGGAGATATGCATGTGGAAGTAGAATTGAGTGGAAAGTTAGAGGTTCTGTTAGCAGGTTACTTGTGGAACTTTTTAGAAGATGCATATAATTGGCATCTCAAATTCTTCTCTACAGTGGAGACATCATCCTATCTATGATTGGTATTTATGGATCAAATAAGATAAATTATGTAAAATCATTTTAAGTCTCTTAGTGATACACATGTGCAGAAGTTATAAGCAGATCCATTGTCAGCTGTAGTTGTATTCATGCATTGCCTTTAATCTGGATGATGAGACCTTTAAGACTAAATGTTCTCTGTAGAGAAATGTTGGTTTTATATATTTACAAATATTTAGAAGTTCACTTTTCATCTATAAATTTGAATATGAGGCATTTCTGAGTGTTTCTACTTCTCTTTGTTAGAGAGAGGTTCCTGATAATCATTCACTCACCAATGATGACATTCATGAGTATGACATTTTTATTTGTATCCCACCTCATAGAAAGAATTTTGCAGCCTTTACATCTGCCAGACTACAGATAAAATATTCCAGGCTTTACATGATTTTTTTCTCCATCTGTCTGTCTCTTTTCTGTCTCTAATTTTGTTGGTGCATCAGGACTACTGAACAAGTGAAATTTCTCTGTTTTCTGTTGTAAGTACTCCTGCTGTCTCTGTTCATCCCCAGGACCGTTGGCAGTCCTCTCCCCAAACCATCTCTCCATAGCATGTTGGCTTTGTTTCTGAGTTTGACCTGAGGATGATTTTTGCATTTCATTTGCCACTTCATGAGTCAGCTTAGCCTTGCAATTTGTACCTAAAGGAGTGGAGATCAGCCTTCCACCTTAGGTGCAAGAGCTTGCACTCCCCAGCTTGGCACGCCTCATGTGGCACCCTGACAGTGAGCGCTGGCTTGGCCCCAAGATCATCCTGACAGTGGTCTGAGGGACTGCTCTGCTATTGTTAGAAACAATTGACTTTTTTGATGGGATAAGGTTGCTGACTTGGAGAGGGGAGACATTTTAGAGGCAACTCCAGTTTGGTGGTTTGGTGGCAGGGGGGTAGCATTTAGTAAGACCATTAGGGAAAGAACCCAGAAACTAGATAGTGGTCGTGCACATTCTGGTAACTTTATATGATCCTCCCCTCCCCTTACCCTCCTACCCCCCAAGAAGAAGTAAAGGTTATAAACTTATTTATTTTGTCAGAGTGGCTTTTTTACTGGAAATTTTAAGTTCATTAAAACAGAACAGAATCTGAACTAGGCTTTGGGTCATAAATTATGTGCTAGTTAAAAAATAACAGGGAGTTTGAGGTTTCCCCAGTTCCAATCTTTCCACAAATACATGACATTCGTTTTCCATCTTACTGCTTAATAGGAATGATAACCATTTACACAAATATTTTTATTTTTGTACTTTCCATTGACCATAGTTTTTCTCTGTTAGCACACAGGTCTGGAACTGTCTTATCAGACTTATGTGGTTTTTAGTGCAATAAAGAACTTTTTTAAAGAATCTGGTCCAGTGTGGTAATTTTTCTAATGAATATCAAAGCCAGTGAGTAGGGATCAGATGAACTGAATGTCTCTAGGTGATAAGGTACCTCTGCAAGGCTTAGTGGTGTGTCAGCAGAAACTGTCAGAGTCAGAGTACTGGTGTTACACATACCACGGAAACACGTGAGGAGGTCTTCTCAGAGAATGAGCTGAGCTATAGTTCCTTGCCTGCCCTGTCTCCTGGGAGATTCAGAGACATGAAAGGTGTTCCCCTCTCTACTGTGTAGATGTAGAACTTGTGTGGTGCTGTATGCTTTGGCTTCTCTCTGCACACATTGCTTTCTCTGCTCCATCTCATAGCTTGGAAGTTGTTAATGTGATTCCAAAATGGCCTGTTTTTTTTGTTTTGTTTTGTTTTATTTTTGTTCTCCTTTCCAGGAGTGGCTGTAAGGTGAAGAAATATGAAACACAGTCTCTTGCTTTGGAAGGATGTTCTCAGGTGAGTCTGTGCCTGTCACCAGAATGTCTCTTGGACCAGGGGTCCCCAAACTGGAGTTTGTGTGCTCCTGGGAAGGGGGGTATAATGAATAGTTTCCAGCAGGTGTCTGAGTATCTGGCTTTGAGGAAACCAATTTCTTGACCCTCAACTTCCTAAAGTGACCTGAGAAGGCTCCTGAGAAAAGGAGTGCCCACTCATGTTACACTTTTCCCACTTCTTTGAGGTAAAATTTCCTGTCATTCTGAATCTTAATAAGATGCATTTTCACTGGATATGAAATGTCTAGGACACCAAACAAAGGGCAGATTTGAAATATTACTGCATGTTTTAAGAAAGTGATTAACTTTAATAACTGGATAATAAATTTCTTAAGTCAGATGGTTTTCCAATTCATTGCTTTCAGCAAAGTAGGAGAACTTGAGTTATAACCTGATAGACTATTAAAAATTATTTGACCCAATGTTATATGTCAGTTATATCTCAGTTAAAAAATAATGTTTTTAAAAGATTTTTATTTATTTGAGAAAGCACAGGCTAGAGGAGGGACAGAGTGGGACAAACAGACTCACCTCTGAGCAGGGAGCCCGGATGCAGGGCTCCTTCCAGAACCATGAGACTGTGACCTGAGCCTAAGGTCAGGCTGGCCCATGAATTGTTTAACTGGCTGAGCCACTCAGGAGCACTGCCCTCCCAAAGTAACTTTTGATGATAGAATTTTTTGGTACATGACTTGGAAAGGTATTCAAAGAATTAAGAGACATTTCTATTTCTAAAACTTTTTCTCTCTTTCATCAGTTTGTATAAATAGGCTTAAATATCTAAGGCTTCTTCTTGATTGATTATTATAAAAATGAAAAACAGGAATAAAATTCATGTGGATCCTTGTTTCCTTCTAGCAGTAAATATTTGCCCATGACTATGAATTGGAAAACACATACAAAAAAAAACAAAAACCCAGACCCATTTGATTGTGATGAGACCTTTTAAAAAACTTTATTGCAGCATAACTGTGAATACAGAAATACATTAATTAGTTAATAAAATTCATTTTAAGTTTATTTTACACAGTTTGGACCAAAAACTTGGTACAGGGCTGAAGATTAAAAAAAAAAAAGATTTGCCCTCTGATTTATTTTTTCATCTATTACAAATATGTAAAGTATCCAATTTCAAATGCTGCTAAAGCAGGCAACAAATTTCTGCAAGAAATTTACCTTTGATTTGATTCAGGAAAATAACACGTATGACACCGCAAAAGTTTTAAATAATTGGTACAACAAAATATAATTGATACTTCTTTTTAGTAGAAACTTTTGTATGTGATAGTACTTATCAAAAGTTGTAATAATTTTAGGATAAATTGTGCATTAGTTAATTATGATGACTGGTTGTCCAGAAGAAAAAATGTTAATGTTTAAAGATTTACGGTCATAGAAGTTTTTTTTAATTTTTAACTTTTTTTAACTGAGAAAGACGATAGCACTTTAAAAGACTTTAAAAGGATACAGGTGCTTCTTTTTAAAGATAATTTCTTGGTAGAAGCAATGATGCAAATTTCTGACTTAAAACTATTAAAAATGTGTGTTCATGTTGATTTTAAGTAGATGATAGAATATCATCAAATCACTAGAGTAATTAGGTTGAGCTAGGCAATTTTTAAAGTATACTGGATATTATATCTTATGAAGTTTTTTATATTTATGCTGAAAAGTTTTTGGATGTCACCTAAAATACAGTGGGTACATTGATATTTCAAAAGCAATTCATGGGCTATATGAGCAAAATATTTGAAAACCACTGCCTTAGATCACTTAAACTTGTTGCTTATGAATCTAGGCTAGAAAAGGTTAATTTTTCAGACCTCATGTGTGAATAAGAGAAGCGAGGTTCTAGAAAGCATAATATTCCATAATTGAGATACCTCAGCTTCCTCCTTGATTGGTACCAAAATCTATGATTAAGTCTTATCTGACACCCATGTGGAATGGTGGCTGTCTTGCCCCGTTCCTCAGATGTCACTTTCCCCACTGTTGGTCCTCCTAAATGGTAGCATCTGATCTGTTGCATTTCCTAGGATGAAGGAGCAGTGATCTCCCAGATTTCAGACATATCTAATAGGGATGGCCACGCTACCGATGAGGAAAAACTGGCGTCCACTTCATCTGGTCAGAAATCAGCTGGGGCCGAGGTGAAAGGTGAGCCAGAGGAAGACCTGGAGTACTTTGAATGTTCCAATGTTCCCGTGTCTACCATAAATCATGCGTTTTCATCCTCAGAAGCAGGTATGGAAGTATATGTTCATCTTTCTAATGTACATAAGCCTAGAAATGCCTGAAAGCTTAATGCAGGAGGCAGTTTAAAGAGATTAGAGAATTGGGTCACTTGGAGGATAGATGCAGGTTGCTGATCTGTGCTTTGCTTCTTTGCCTAGAGAAGAGATGCAGGAGGGCATCTTCTCAAAATACCAGAGCCATAGGGATGAGTGTGGCAGGATGGAGACACTGACATATGAGGCTGCTTGAATTTTGTGACTTATTTTATGTGACTTCATCTCAAAATATAGTGGCCTGTAGCCATGTTGTGATTGTTGTTCAACTTAGAGAAATAATAATAACACGTATAGTGCCTTACCATGTGCAGGCACAGTGCTAAGTGCTTTACATCTATAAACTGATGACTCCTTGGTCAGTATTATTCCACACCCCCCCCCCCCATTTTTCAGAGAAGGAAGGTGAGACATAGAAGTTGAGTAAGTTAGCCAAGGTCACTTGATTAGCACATGGTAGAACTAGGATCCAAACCTTGGCAGTCTGGTTTTGTGGTCTTTTAAGCACAATGCTAACATGGGAAGAGGTTGCTTTCATGACTAGAATATTATCCATTTTCCTGTTTGTAGACTGAAATCGACAAATACCCTGAAAAATCCTTGATGTTCTACTAAAGACTAACTAGGCTTAACCTATGCTGAAGCTTCTTCCTGTTGAACTTGTAAGAACATTCTAGAGCTGAGGCCCTTGTCCAGGTCCCAAGATATGTCTGTGGCCTTCAACTTGACTTGTGAAATATTTAGAACCATGTTCTTGACTACCTTAAGTATTATTAAAAATTCAGACTTTTCAGCAATGTAATTTGATCTGGGGACTTTTATACTTAAAAATCACAATATGTCATCAAACCAGGGAAGCAGGTGGGAGACCATACTTTGCAAGAGTTCTCCCCTCAGCCTCTCACTGACCACATCTCCTCCCATCTACAGAGTAAACATGCCAGGCACTGTTCCACATTTCTTCCCAGGCCTCTTTCTGCTCTGACATCTTTCCCACCTGTACTCCTTTACCCCAGTTATAGGGATGATCCTGAGTACTCTTGTACCTGCATTTATTTCTTACATTTAAAATATCTTTCTTAGGACACCTAGGTGGCTTAGTGGTTGAGCGTCTGCCTTTGGCTCAGGTTGTGATGCTGGGGTCCTGGGATCAAGTCAGGCATCGGGCTCCCTGCAGAAAGCCTGCTTCTCCCTCTGCCTGTGTCTCTGCTTCTCTTTCTGTGTCTCTCATGAATAAATAAATAAAATCTTTAAAAATAAAGTAAAATAAAATCCTTTCTTTGCCATCTTTATAAAAATTCTGCCCGTTTTTTTTTCAAGTTTCTTTCAAAACTATGACTTGGCTTCCACCACACTTTATATTCCCACACATTTCTCCTTACCGTTCCTGTTCCATGTATTTATTATAAGAGGTATCTTTGATAAACTTCTTGAGGTTAAGGACTATAAATGATTCATCTTTGACTTTCCTCTGATATAGGAGATATTTTTTGGATTATATTCTTCCTCACTAGGAGGAAATTCCTCCAACAGAAATTTCTAGAACTGGGATTATGTTAGGTATGGTGCTATCCTCAGAGTTAGTAAAGAGCTAGTGCTACAGTGTTTGATCATGTCTTGGGAGCAAGCTGAAGCTATGGTCATGCAGGGGTGGTAGGTGTGTTGGAGGTGGGCAAGAAGTTCTGGCTCTATCAGGGGAATCACGATCTGTTTCCTAGGGAGAACCACCTTTGCACCAGGTCTGGATAGATACATATGTACATAGACGTGTCCCAGGGAATGAGAATCTCTTGCAGGGATGAGAAGGAGCCTGCTATGTTGGTAAATGCTAAGCAGTTCTTTGTGAGTTCAGGACAAGTGGGAAAAACGAGGTCCAACTGAGAAATCAAGACTTGATCCTGTAGGTAAAGGGGAGCCATTGATGGTTTGTAAACAGAGTAGTGATGGTCACATTTGTTTTAAATAATTCACTGTTGACAGTACACTAAAATAGTAATTTGTTGTTGCTACATGGAGGTTGTAGCTTTAAAATTGTGTGCTCTTTCACATTTTAAGATTTTCTTTAATAAGTACCTATTCCTTCAATTAGAAATCACATTGTGTGTGCGCACCTGCACGCACGTGTGTGTATATATGTATATATGTATACGTATACATATGTACCTTTACATATATGTATACCTATACATATATATATTATATATATATATATGTTTTTTTAATGATGCCTTTGGAGACGAGTTTGAAAAGGTGTGGGGAGGAGAATGAATTTAGTTTTTGGGCATTTAAATTTAGAGCTTATTGTTTTATCTGCTATGTTAATTATGAGGGTACCCTTCTGGGCTGGAATTTAAATTCACTCAGACCAATAATAAAGTAACATTCGCTCTTTGGTTTTCTCTTTCTGAGATAGATAGTCCCATGGTTATAGTACAGCTTTTTTACAAAACTTTTCACGGACACAAGAGGGCAGCCTCGCTATTTTTTCCACCTGAAGATGGTGGGTGATTCTGTTGATGGCTGGCTAACCGCACACTCTCCTTTCTTCTGAATACTTGAACTTTTAAAACAGACAACACACCCATAAACAAAATGCCAGTGCTCCTTTGAAAATCTGAAAATGCTGTTCATTTGTTCATAGACATCACTCTGGGCCTGCACTGGGGTTTCCAGAGTCTTTTACCAGGAAAGACAGGAACTGACTTCTTGGGATAATTATAAAAATGACTCTCTGTGTTGCAGGCATAGAGAAAGAGATGTGCCAGAAGATGGAAAAAGATGGATCTGCCACGGCTGTAAGTTCCTGCACTTGGGTTGGGGGGCAGGAGCGGGGGGAATGTGGAGCTCAGTTGGATTTTTTTCAGTATTTAAGGCCAAAGTTAATTCATTAAATAAGTTCTAGTCTTTGGTGACGGGATGAAATATAAATAAAAGTTTCTTCACTCAGGGAGCTCATAGTCTTTCCTGAGATCTCCAATCCAGTAGCCACTAGCCCCCTTCTGATTACTGAGCACCTGACCTGTAGTTAGCCTGAATTGAGATGTCTCTCGTAAGTGTAAAATATTACTCGTCTTTAAAGACTTTATACAAAAAAGGGAAATAAAATGTCTCAAACTTTTTGTACTGATTACATGTTGAGATGCTCATGTTTTATATATCTTAGGTTAACTGAAGTACATTATTAAAATTAATTTTACTTGTATCTTTTTACTTTTTAAATGGCCACTGAAACATTTTAAATTACCAATGGCTTGCATTGTATTTCTTTTGAACTGAGCTAGTAGTAGATGCAAAATGGAAACTAATGATACTATGTGAATGTTGTAATTTAATGTGTTCCAGGGGCTGTGGGAGCCAAGGCTGACCACCTGCGCAGCAGGTGTCCGGGAGGCTGAATTTGAGCTCATTAAAAGCAAAACTATGTTAACATTTTTTAGAACTTGTAAAAATAGTACAGAGAATTTCTGTAAATCTTTCACCCATGTTCCCTGAATATTAACATTTTATATAATCACAGTACAGTTACCAAAATCAATGACCATGTTATTATCTAAGCTAGAAGCTGTCTTTGAATTTTGTCCGTTGTCCCATTAATGTCCTCTTTCTGGTTGCAGGATCCAGCTCAGGATCCCATGTTAAATTTAGTTTTTGGGTTCTCAGTCTCCTGTAATCTATGATAGTTCTTCAGTCTTTGTCTTTCCTGACCCTGACACTTTTGAAGTTGTTTTGTAGAATCTTTCGATTTGGGTTCATCTAGTGTTTCCTCATGATTAAATTCAGTTTGTGTATTTCGAGCACAAATCCATCAGAAGTGACACTGTGGCTTTCAGCATGTCCCATTATTGGTGGAATTAACTATGACCACTTGGTTAAAGTGGTGTGGTCTTAGGTTCCTCCATTTGAACTTAGTTGTAAAGAGAGAATGGAGTTTGAGAGATAAAGCAGTGAAGCAGCAGAGTTGGCCTGAACAAAGGCAAGGAGTGAGAAGCAGGGGCTTTATAAGGAAGTGGAAGTGTTAGTAATCCCGTGTGAGTAGGTGGTCTACGGTAGATGAGGACCAGATCATCAGGAGCTATTGACTTGGTGCCAGGAGGTTGGGAATTCATGGTAGAAGCAGTAGGGAACTATCATGGGGCTTTAAGTAAGGAGCATCATGATGGGTAACAAATAGTTCAAAGGATGGGGTGGAGGCTGAGAGATATTTATCAGGTAGGACCTTTACTGTTTGGTGACTTGGGAGACTTGCATTGTGGCTGGGGTGAAATGGTGGTGAGAGAAAGTTAGTGAAAGCCACCCAAGTTTTCTTCCTTGAACATCTGAGTAGTCAGTGCTACTGAGAATCCATCGTGCAAACCCGGGGTCTCCCTGGGCCCCTCTCTCCCCCTTATTCCCCGCAAGCAAATATGTGGTTTCTACATCCAGGTACCATATACTGTAAATCCGCTTACCACTTCTCCAGCCCATGGCTGTCAACAGTCTTTTTAAATATGGCAGTAGTTTCCTAACCAGTCTCCCTGTTTCCAGGCTGTTCTCTTATCCATTGACATAAGCCAAGGTAATGTTTTAAATACAAAACTGATCTTGTTACTCTTTGCTTAAACTTCTTGGTTGGCTTCCCTTGTCTTTAGAATAAGTTCAGACTCTTCTGGTGGCCAAGGCTTTCTGCACTGGGACTCTGCCTTTCTCTCCAGCATCCGCTGTCTCTTCTCTACCTCACACATCTGACTCTTGCCTTATCATATGGAATTACTTTCAGTTCCATAAACCTGCCCCTTCGAGTCACTTCCTGTTCTCCCTTTCTTCCGTCCAACACTAGAAGCTTGGAAAAGGTAGAGACCATGACTGACTGCTACTACTGTAGCACCTACCACAGAAAATTCTACTGGACACAGGAATCAGCAAATTAAGAAAGAGGTGCAGAATTGTAGAAGAATTTTTAGATCTATGGCTTTGAGACATCTGTGGGACAAGTTTCTAAGTCCATATTTCCAGGAGGCAGTTCTAATAAATACATAGAATGAGTTCAAGAAAGGCCTGGGTTGGCTTTATTATTGTTTTTAAAGATTTGTTTGTTTATTTTCTTAAGGATTTTATTTGAGGAGGAGAGAGCACAAGCAGGGAGAGGGGCAGGGGGGCAAGCAGACTCCCCACTGAGCAGGGAGCCCATCTCAGGGCTTGATCCAGGACCATGATATCATGATCTGAGCCAAAGTCAGATGCTTGATCGACTGAGCCACCCAGGCACCCCAAGATTTATTTATTTATTTTAGAGAGTACACATGTGTGCACCTGAGCCAGGGGGTGGGGGCAGCAGGTGTGGGGCAGAGGAAGAGGGAGATCCTCAAGCAGATAGATTCCCTGTTGAGCATGCAGCCTAACGTAGGGCTAGATCCGCAGGCCCCCAGATCATGACCTGAGCCGAAACCAAGAGTCGCCAGGCACCCTGGCCCTCAAATTTATTAAAGCCCACCCAGGAGGCACCTGGGTGGTGCAGTCAGTTAAGGGATCTCAGGGTTATGCTTAAGACTATCTCTCTGTCTCCCTTTGCCTCTTTTTCTCTCTAAAATAAATAAATATATCTTTTTTAAAAAATGTGATGGCCTTTAGTACACAGGATAGTTGAAGCTGTAGGATTAGTTTATTCTGTTTCATTTTTAGTGCAGATTGCATGTCCCAGTAAATTGTTTTCAGGGCTCACTGTTAGGCTGAGACCCGTAGTGATTCCCTAGAGGACATAGGGTGAGCAAGTGTAAAGATAGATGGATGAAGGAGGAGCCTGTGGAAACATGAGCAGAAGAAAGACATACACAAAACGCACAGGGTCTTGGCAGCATTGTCCTCACACGTTAGTGACATTTGTTTCTGGACAACATCACTTTTCTGGGAGCCAGGTCACCTAAACCCAGCACAGCCACTCCTGGGCTTCTCCTGACTTTCCTCATCTGTGAGAGAGAGGGATTCATCTGTGAGAGAGAGGGATGCCTGCCATCCCCACCCACAAGATGCTGAAATTATACACTGTCCTACCAAAGAGCCTGCTTGTGCAGTTGGGGAAACCAGTTCCTTTTGAAGTTTTCTAAGTACTAAGGGAGCACTTTCTTGTATTTTTTTTATCCTATAAAAATAGCAAAGGGGGGTGATCAAAGAAGGCTGTGTTGAGTGGATGAAGCATTGGTCTGTGCCATTGCAGATTTAGGTGGCTTCCCCAGCTGTGGGAACAGACTGGTTCAACTACAGACTGGTTCAACTTCCAGATTCTCAGCTTCTTCATCCATAAAATAAGTGGACCTATGACTGTCGTCGGAGTGGTCGTGAGGATGAAAGTCAGTGGTGAGCAGCCCATGGCGCAGCGGTTTGGCGCCACCTGCAGCCTGGAGTGTGATCCTGGAGACCTGGGATTGAGTCCCACATCTGGCTCCCTGCATGGAGCCTGCTTCTCCCTCTCCCTCTGCCTGTGTCTCTGCCTTTCTCTCTGTGTCTATGAATAAATAAATAATTTTTTTTTAAAAAAGGGAACTTACACATAAAAAACAAAAAAAGAAAGTCAGTGGTAAAATGAAAGATGGGAGCAGCAAAGTACTAGGCCACTGTCAGGTGGGGTGATGCTGCTAGTAAAAGAGTGCAGAGTGAGCGACAAAGAAAATACTTGTCTTTGGAGCCAGCTGCTATGTTGTGATCTTTTAAAAGTAACACCAGTGGAACTTCCTGAAATCAATTAATTTCTACTACCTAGAGTGTGGATTAGACATTGCATAGAGAAACTGCACTATTCAAAACGTTGAATAAAGAAGTCTGGTTAATGTAGCATTCTCTTGTGAAAGCCTCCCTTGTGTTTCTTGGAAGTGCATTCCTGTTGCAGCTTGTTGCTGGCGGTTGGTCGCATCCAGGCCAAAGTAACTAAGTCCAGAGATCAGTCAATGGTGGGCGCTAAGTCTCAGTTTGCTTATCAGCTATTGGTCTATGACATTTTTCAATTAGAAGTCAATTTATTTTTCTAGGAAGTCTTAAACTTCTTAAAAGTTAAGTTCATGTGGTTTTTCCAAGCGTGTCTCTGTTAGAGTGAAGTGGCTGGGGTGGGGTACACTCCAGTGGATTCGAGAATGAAAGATGGGGGATGCCTGGGTTGGTCAGCAGTTGAACGCCTGACTTTGGCTCAGGGATCGAGTCCCACATAGGGCTCCTTGCATGGAGCCTGCTTCTCCCTCTGCCTGTATCTCTGCCTCTCTCTCTGTGTGTGTCTTTCATGATTAATAATAAAAGCTTTTAAGAAAAAGATCACAAAGATGGAATGAACTCAGCATGCTGTGAGAAAGTAATGGTGCTAATTGTCTTACTGCAAGGCAGTGAGCAGAAGAGCTGTACGTGGTGGCATCCATGCTCACTGCCAGTTGCAACCAAGACTGCATTGAGTTCCACGGTCTAGAGACAGGTCTCTCTTGGCTCAGCAGTGAATGCTTTGGGAACATTCAAAGGAAATGTTCAAGGAAAGGGGATTAGTGGACATGAACAGGACCCTTTAGTAGAAAGGTTGAGACTGATTGATTGGGTTAGCATCTTTATTAAACATAATAGATTAACCAGCCCAGGATGAGGTTATCAGGTCAGTTCTCTGTGATGGTAGATTCTGTAGGCTTTCTATGCTGTTTAATAAGCAATATAAAGAACTAAAGAAGGTGAAAAGCTAAATCCTAGGGTTCTTGAAAAGGCAGCTGAAATAGGCCACAGCCATAAATTCCCTGTAAGAGCTGTCATATTTTGAGCTGTGAGGTGAGAGGATGTGGCCAGGTGGAGGGAGTAACTGGGGAGGTCTGCAGGCTACAGAAGCCACTCACCTGGATATATATCTGTCCCTATCTAAAGTCTGATCACCTGGCTCCAATTCAGAATGCTGCCTCTTCCAGACACATTAAGTTGTTGAGCAAATTGGCAGACAATTCATTTATTCCCCCAACAAATGAATGAGATGCTAACCTCTAGAATAAATGTTGATACTTTGCTTACTAAGAAAAATCTTTTGGCTTATTTCCTAAAATCTTGCTAACTTGAGAATCAGAGAAGGCATAGGGGAACTATTTCCTGGAGTTGATTTGACTTGAGGATTCTGTCTTCAACTAATAAAAATATAAAAGACTGATTGTAAAATGTATTAATTTAGAATCAGAAATCTAACAATAAAGTGAACCAAATGTGTCAGCTTGCCCTGGGGTGTTACCTCCCTGTAGGCAAGTTATGTGGGAATCAAGATTATGAGAAAGCTTCTTGAGGAGAAGCATGGCACAAGAAGTTAATGGATGACTCAAAGTCCAGGATTCATTATCCACAAGAAACATTTCTTATATCCTCATTTCTGGCCCTGGAATCCTGGGGCACTTCTGCTGGATGCCTCTGACTGAGTGCACACAGGCTGCAGTCAAGGTACTGACCAGAGCTGTGGTCACCTCCAGACTCAATTTGGGGGGACCCACTTCCAAGTTAACTCACATGGCTGTTGGCAGAGACATCAGTTCCTTGCACATGGGCCTTTACATAGAGAGTTCCTCACAGTGTGGAAGCTGGAGTCTTTTTGTAAATTAATTTCACCTATGGCTTTTACTGTACGTAGCCTCTTTAGGAGTGAGTCACCAGGTCCACCCTAGACTCACGGAGAAGAGCTTACACGAGAGAATTAGTACCAGGATGGTGGGGGTCATTCAGGGCCATGTTTGAGGCTGCCTGTGGTGAGTGGCGTCTAGCTATAGTGATAGATCTGCCCCAAGATAGAAAGTGTTTCTGGGGGGACCGTGGGCTCCTGTCAGTAGGGTTTTCTGTATTGGGCTAAATGCAAAAATTATGTGTGAATTTTTTAGCATTTTCTAGAGAAAGAGTGAATTGTAATGAACATGAAAGGTTTAAAAATTACTGGTCTAAGTAGACTTTGGCCTTTTTGTTCAGTCTTGGTTCGACAGTATACCAGAGGACTTTACATGTGGCCACTTTGTAAAGGGACCAATCACACTGTACACTTGACAGCATCATGCGCCAGGGCCAATGTCACTACAGAGCAGCTGAAGTTCCTGATGGCCCTGAAGCATTCTGGGGTAGGGGAGTCAGCATTCAGATATGTTTGCCATTTCTACTTCCTTAGGACTGGAAGTTACTAATCCATTTTAGAAACATTTCTATCCAAAGTGAATGAAGAGGTATACAAAGTTATCAGTATGTTTAAAAGTTGATACTCTTTTGGGGAAAAGTTATTACATGGAATGCATCATCCCCAGAAACACCTGAAAAATGAGACATTTTTTCTTTTATACATGTGATTCTTTGGTGACTGGTCACTGTGATAATCACACTTTCTCCTTTTTAGATACGAAGAAAACTTTGCAGGCTCTCTGTTTTAAATGGTTGTTAACTCGCCGCCGCCCCATATTCATTAGGATACTTTTTCCTTTAGATAGTGCTGTAACTGGATTTGTTTTTTTTTTTTTTTTCGAAAGCTTCCCCCCCTGTTTTGTCTTCAAATATGTTTTTAATCACTGTAATCAAATGAGCAATGAGGAAGTTACTGAAGAATATTTGGGGTTAAGAAGCTGAAGACTGAACTAAGTGTGACTTCTTGCCCCTCAGGGCCTGTTGGAGTCCTCTATGGAGAAGGCCCCCGTGTCTGTGGCCTGTGAAGGGGAGAGCCCCCTGGATGGCATCTGCCTCAGTGAATCAGATAAGACAGCCGTGCTCACCCTCATAAGAGAAGAGGTAAAGGCCTTGGTGTTCCGTCTGCTTAGCACTCCATTTCTTTGTAAAGCCCACGCGCCAGCAGGGAGATTCCATCTCTGTTGGGCTTAAGTTATCCCTGGCTGGAAGTTCTTATTTCCTGTAGCTTGTGTAGCTCGTATAAAGGCTCCCTGTAAAACTCACGTTGGTGCTAGAGTCCCGACTTTCTGGTGTCCTAGGGGAAAAGTTAACACTTTTTTATCTTTCAGCCTTGAAGTTTTTTAAATATCAAATTCTGCCAACTCTTCCCACATATGTGACTGAATCATTGCCTTCATTTAGCAGGAGATAATGTGTTCACGCTTACAAATGCCTTAATTCTACACTTGCAATAATATAAAATTGTTTCCCACCTTTATCCATTCTCTAACCGTCAACTCTTAAATTCCTTTACTACGTCTCTTAAACAGTCTCTGCTCAAAATTGCTTACTACTAGGCCTTTCTTGGGTGATCAGAAAATACAGAAGATGCCGTCACATGCTATTAATCAGTTACCATCCATTCCCATTATATTTCTATGCTGTATTTTATGTGTTTGGTTTGTGTGTTTCTTGATGATTCCACCTTTTTTTCTCTTAAAATGGGAATTTCCTTAGTGTAGCAATGTTATTATAATATCATGAAAGTAGATAAGAACCTCAGATATAGTCTTTTAAAGCTTAAAAAATAGCATTAGGTTGATAATGATGGATGTCACCTGGTTCCATTGTCAGAACTCAGGAGCAGTGGCGAGGATGCCTGCCTGTCCCTGTCAGTGAGAAAAATGACATCTTCTTCCTCCCGAGAGTAAAACTATCAGATGTCTGCCTAATAGAGCAGAGCAAAAATGTGCCTCGTCACCTGAAGCAGACAGTCTGGCTGCTAGGTTCTTTTTCCTTTCCTTTTTTTTTTTTTTTAAGATTTTATTTATTCATGAGAAACGCACACACAGAGAGAGGCAGAGACACAGGCAGAGGGAGAAGCAGGCTCCCTGCAAGGAGTCTGATGCAGGACTTGATCCCAGGACCCCAGGATCATGCCCTGAGCCAAAGGCAGACGTCCAATCGCTGAGCCATATAGGTGTCCTTGGCTGCTAGGTTCTTGATTCTATTCTGATTAAAGGCATCAAAATAAAGAATGTACCAATTAGAAAGAGAGAAGTATAATAAAAGGATGTCCCTCTAAGCTCTGTCAAGGCACATGGAGTTTGAGGTAATGAGTTTATAGTATTTCTTTCCAGTTAGTAAGGCCATCCCAGATAGGGATATGGGTTCTGGTCTGATGAGCAAGCCTTCTGGCTGGTGGCTTAGAACTCTGAGCCCTAGTTGTGACTCCATTCTTACCAAGCAATCAGAAATCTCTATAGAAGGAGAGTGTGCTGGTCACACTAATGCTTCATTTCGTATCCTAAAATTACTACTTTGGTTAGGGTGAGTCTCTTCTAGGCTGATGGCTCTTATTTTGGTGTCCTATCCCAGTCATGGTTTTGGGCCTTGCAGAGCTGAGAGCCAGACCCTGGGCCCGGGTAAAATTCACAGGGATTGTGATTATCACTTTGAATTTTCCTGGAAGATGTTCTGTTTGCCTCTGTTTCGGTGGCTACATTTCCACCATCCTATGTGGCAGAGAGCACATTTTTCCAAATGCTTGTGAGCATTATATGTAGATTCTGAGGCTTTATATTCCTAATGTAGCTTAAATGTCTTGGGATCGACCTAGTTATGTGTTTTCAGTTTCCAATCTTAAATTCAAACTGTGATAGATTCAGTAGGTAAAACCACACTTTATCTCTATTATAATTTAGATAATCACTAAGGAAATTGAAGCAAATGAATGGAAGAAAAAATACGAAGAAACCCGACAAGAAGTTTTGGAGATGAGGTTAGATGGGACTTTTATGCATTATTATACTTTATATAAATGTAGTGATGAAAGTATTTGCTTACCACAAAACCAACTGTTGAAAACTTGAAGGCATTGGTATTTGCACCTTAATATGTGATTGACAGTGTCTTTTCATGAGTGTTGTTGACCAGTTACTCAAATGCTGTAGCTTCTTGTGGGTTGTTGAGAACATTACAAATAAGCAGAACTCGCATAATTCTTAATCTTTTGAAGAGACATCAATTTGTACAAAAAAATCCATTTAAACTACAGAATAATAAGATTTATTGACATATAAAGATCAATAGTCATAGTACTTTTCTAAAATCAATTATGCATGATGGCTTCAAATTTCATGACCACCAAATAGATTATAAAAAGCATGTTAATAGGAAACAAAATCAACTGACCTAAAATTGATATCTTTTTCTTTTTGCTGCTCATTCCCTAGAAAGGGGAGTTCAAAGCTGTGAAATAACTAAAGATAGCATCAAAGAAGAAAAAAGCATAATTTATATACTTGTACAGTCAGCACTTGAATGATTAAGAAACATTTTAAATATGTTCACTCTAATTTGTAGCTCTTGTATTGCTTGCTTTTTGAGCATCTGCTGGGCGTGAGGTTCCGTGCTGGATGTGGCAGAGAGGAAGCAACAACCCCCTAGCTTACAGTAGCCGCCAGAAGAAACCTGGATCCAAGTGATGGTCACCACCACTGAGGGGCAGGGGAGCCCTCACTTCTCGCTGGGGGTCCCAGGGAAGAGCACTCTTCTTATTTGGACAGGGTCAGGGAAACTCCATTGCACTTTGCCCAAAAAGAAAGATTAACATGACAGGGTGATCTTTAAAGTCTTTGAATAACTGAAATGCTTTTGGAACTAGGACAGTTAAATAAAACTTAAAAATAAAATAAAACTGAATCAGAGGGCAGAAACTGCCCAAAAGTGTGGATTGGGGCCAGGAAAGCCTGAACTTCTGAACAGATCAGGCTTCTTAGGAAGAACCCCAAGAATTTCATTCACTTATTTTATGAAAGATTGATTTGTCCAGGCAGAATGAGGTCATTTACATGAGATGCAAAGAAAAAGTGAAGTCAGTTTCTATAATGTTAAACATAAATCTTCAGAAAAGCCTTTTTGAACATTAAAAAATCTCACATTAATATAAAAAAGCCCAAAACAGATAACTGGGTTACATAAATTTGTTCATTTGAACATCATCGTTCAAATATTCATCAGGCATTATATACCACACTCAGATGTTCTTTTGTTAATGTGTTTAATTGTTTGGGGCAGCATTTCTCCAACTTCCATGGAAAATTCTCTTCCAATAATATATATATATATATATATATATATATTTTTTTTTTTTTTTAAGGAAAATTGTGGCCGAATATGAAAAGACCATTGCCCAAATGATTGGTAAGGACAATTTTTTAAAAGATTTTATTTGCTTATTTGAGAGAAAGAGAGCAAACGAGCAAGGGGAGGGACAAAGAGAGAGAAAGAATTTCAAACAGGCTCTGAGCTGAGCAGGGAGTCCAATTTGGGGCTTTATCTCACAACCTTGAGATCATGACCTGAGCTGAAACCAAGAGGCAGATGCTTAGCCAGTGGAGCCACCCAGGCGCCCTGTATCAGATGCACTGGTACCTTTTATGAAACAATAGGAGTTGGTTCTCCTGCAATGAATTTAGAAGTAACTGTAACCAATATCATCAGAACTGACTGCTAAGTGTCTCTCTATTAAAGTGCTGAAATCATGCTTTCTGCAGTCCACATCACCTCATGCCTTACCAGTGTAGGGCCCTTGCCAAAGCTGTTCCTCTGCTGGAACGTTCTCCTCCTGGGTAGCTGCATGGCTACTGCCCTCAGCTCCTTTACATCCCTCTTCAATTTTTTTCTCTGAGAGAGACCACTCTATGTAAAAAAAGAAGCCTGCCCTTCTTGGTCTGCTTTGGTTTTTCCCTATCACTTGTCTCCATCTGGATCCCCCACTAATGTAAATTCTTAGGAGGAACTTTGTTATGTGCACTGCTGGGTCCACTCCACCAAGAATACAGGTTAGCTCACAGAGGGCAGCTGATAACCATCTGTTTTATGAATACGCCATTACTTTTTATTTGGTTCACAGAAGATGAACAGAGGACAAGTATGACCTCTCAGAAAAGCTTCCAACAACTGACCATGGAGAAGGAGCAGGCCCTGGCTGACCTTAATTCTGTGGAAAGGTCCCTTTCTGATCTCTTCAGGAGATATGAGAACCTGAAAGGCGTTCTGGAAGGGTTCAAGAAGGTAGCATGTCCTTTTCTCTCCTTGGTAGTGTATTGTCTTGGTAATGGATCTTTAAACATATATGCCAGAGGTGTGGGTGCCCTCCTAAATAGGGGGTTGGAACTGAGATACCATTGGCCTCGGTTTTCTTTACCTTTTTCTCTTTCTGCAGTTGTTCAGGCATCTGGCCCACCAGGTGGTGTGTCTTGGTCATTGCCCTCCTGGGTCAGGCCACAGCCAGCGTGTGGCATGGAGCATAAGAGGTGTGAAACCCTCAGACCTTAGGAGAATTCTAGAAATTGTTTTGATAATTCACCAATTTAACTTAATAATAGTAAAGGAAACATTTAGCACTGAAAAATTCAGGCTACATTAGTGTTTCAAATTTAGATATAAGTGGGCATATTGGTTTACCTTAGTTGCACACCATCAGTAGGACACATTATAGTGTGAACATCTTTTTTTCATAGTAAAATAAAAATGAGAATGGCCAATTTACCTAAAATGAGACCCAGGTTGCCATTTACTTTTGAAATTTTTTTTCTTAAGATTTCTTTTTTAAGTATTCTCTACACCCAATGTGAGACTTGAACTCACAACCCTAAGGTCAAGAGTCACACTTTACCGACTGAGCCAGCCAGGCACCCCTGCCATTGACTTTTGAATCATAGCCTCCCTAAACTGTGGGTGTATTGGTATAACTGAACCTTACTGTGTTTTGAAAATTTATACATGAAGAAATTATCTAGAATTTCTTCAGTAAGAATTATTTGTGCCTGTTTTGAATTATCATGGACTATAACGTAAAGGCATCTGAATTAATTAGGTTTTCTCATTTAAAAAAAATGAAAAAAATAAAAATAAAAAATGAAAACTCTGGTACACCGTTTGTCACTAATAGAAGAAAAATGACCAGTTTCTTTTATTTTTAAATTGTCACTTTGGAACAGAATGAAGAAGCCTTGAAAAAATGTGCTCAGGACTACTTAGCCAGAGTTAAACAAGAGGAACAGCGATACCAGGCTCTGAAGATACATGCAGAAGAAAAACTAGACAAGTGAGAGCTCGCCATAGGATCTATTTCACAGTCCTTGACTTGATGTGGTGGGAAGAATGAAAAAGGCCAAAAAAAACCTTCAACCTTGTTTGGCAACTCCAGGGTGGGGGGGTGTTTATTATTTAAATTTTGAATAGGTAGAATCTTCACATGGTTCAAACATTAAAAAGAAGAAAAAGATACATCCCTGCCCACCCCCGGCCTTCCTCACCCCCCTGGTAATTGGCCATTGGTTCCTCCAGTCCTTACAGATTACTCTTTCCCCTTCTCCCCCTTCCCCAGCTTTATGGAGATATAATTAACACATAACGTTGTGCAAGTTTAAGGTACAACCTGTTGATTTGCTCTATTTATATATCACACAGCAATAATGGTCTTAACCAACACCTCTATCATACCACTTGATCGCCAGTTTTTTTTTAATGTGAGAATCTCCCTTTGTTATGCAGATGACAGCATACCTAACTTTTCTCATTTAGCTGTGTAATTTAACTAGCCACCTCTCCTATGGGACACTCAGGTTATTTATCACCCACTACAAACAGGGCTGCAGTAAGGAGCCCTGGATGGTTATCATTTGGTGTGCATGTGAGTTATCTGTATGCAGGAAAAGGAATTGTGCTCAGCCAAAGAATAATATGAATTTGTAATTATGATAAATATTGTCAAATTGCCCTCATTCAACGTTTATCAGTGTATCCCTACATGAAGTATGAGAGCTTCTTTTCTCCCTACAGCTTGGCCAACAGATCAAATTTTTAGTTTTCTACAAAAACAATAGATAAAGGTGGTATTTCACTTTAGTTAGGGTTTTCTTTTCTTTTCTTTTCTCTCTTCTCTTCTCTTCTTTTCTTTTCTTAATATTTTATTTATTTATTCATGAGAGACACAGAGAGAGGGAAAGAGGCAGAGACACAGGCAGAGGGAGCAGCAGGCTCCATGCAGGGAGCCCGATGTGGGACTTGATCCCAGGACTCCAGGATCATGCCTGAGCCTAAGGCAGACACTCAAATGCTGAACGTTTTCTTTTTTGATAAACCTAATAGAACATTTTTATTCAAAGTAGTTTTGATTGTGTTTATCTTACTAGTAAAATTGAACATATTTTAGCAACTGTCTATAGGCATACTTGCTTTACCATGAATCACTGTATTCTTTGCCTGGTTTTCTATTGTCAGTTTATATATTATATATAAAAATATATTATCATATTTACGTGCTAGCCCCTTTGTGATATGAGTTGTGAGTTATTTTTCTAGTTTATCTTTTGGTTTCTAGTGTTTTTTTATATACAGGAATTTATTTTTATATAGTGAAATTTTTTTATTTAAAGATTTTACTTATTCATGAGAGACACAGAGAGAGACAGAAACACACAAGCAAAGGGAGCAGCAGGCTCCTCGCAGGAAGCCCGATGTGGGACTCAGTCCCAGGACCCCAGGATCACACCCTGAGCCAAAGGCAGATGCTCAACCGCTAAGCCACCCAGGCATCCCACAGTCATTTTTTTTTTACTCAGTATTTGCTGTTGTGGTAACAAAACTCTTCTCTGGGCTGAATTTAAAATGTTCTCCCATGTTTTCCTTCTAGTACTTTTTTGGCTTTTTTTTTTTTTTTAATTTTAAATCCAGCACATTTGGAATTTATCCTGAGGAATGGTCTGAAGAATGCTTCCAACTTTATTTTTTTAACTAAAAAGTAATACCTACTTGTACATTTCGCTATCTCCATATTTGTAAAACATTTCAAGTTCCCCTCTCTCATTCTCACTCCCAGAGGTACTGCTATCAAAGGTTTATTGTGAATCCTTCCAGATTTTTCTTTGTGCCTTTACAGATACTACCCAGAATGGCTTCAGACGTTTTTTTTTTTTTTTTTTTTTTGCATAAATTCAGAGTCATAAAATACAAATTTCCTTTTTCATTTAGTAGTATATCATCATAGCCATTTTCCACGTCGAAGCAAATGGTTGCTCAGTCTAGTTATTTTTATTAGGCTGTAGGACTGTTCCATTCCTTTATTATATATTATTCCATTTAGATAGTTTCATACTTTTTTCTGTTGTAAACAATGCTGCAGTGGACATCCTTGTGCACACAGTTATGAAAAGTGGGAATATTGCTGAGGATATGTTACTTCAGGGAACTTGCTGGATCAGAAAATATATGCATTTTTATTTATTTTTACATATTTTTTTAATTGGAGTTCAATTTGCCAACATATAGCATAACACCCAGTGCTCATCCCATCAAGTGCCCCGTCACCCAGTCACCCCCAACCTCCACCCACCTCCCTTTCCACCACCCCTTGTTTGTTTCCCAGAGTTAGGAGTCTCTCATGTTCTGTATCCCTTTCTGATATTTCCCACTCGTTTTTTCTCCTTTCCCCTTTATTCCCTTTCACTATTTTTTATATTCCCCAAATGAATGAGACCATATAATGTTTGTCCTTCTCCGATTGACTTATTTCACTCAGCATAATACCCTCCAGTCCCATGCACGTTGAAGCAAATGGTGGGTATTTGTCATTTTGATGGCTGAGTAATATTCCATTGTATACATAAACCACATCTTCTTTATCCATTCATCTTTCGATGGACACCGAGGCTCCTTCCACAGTTTGGCTATTGTGGACATTGCTGCTATAAACATCGGGGAGATGTATGCATTTTAAATCATAATAGTTACAGCCATATCCCCTTCCACAGACAGTGCCAGTTTTCATTTCCCCATCAGCAGGTGATCCTGTCTGTTTCCTTGCATCTCGGCCATCATAGAATAAGATCATCCTGGTTAATATTTGCCAACCTGATAAATTTTAAAAGTTTATCATTTAAATTTGCATGCCTTTGACTACTAATGGGTTTTTAGCATCCTTTCATCAATCAATTGGCTATTTATCAATTGCCATGTATAGTTTTAAAAATGTCTTTTGTATCTCATTAATAAAGTCACTTTTTAGTTCTAGTGTCATAGATGTCAGTAGAGAGTGTCCTGACTGTTTAGCTCTGTTAATCCCACAGATGACCCTGCCTGCTATTGTCCTAGGTTAAAAAAAAAAAAATCTAAGATTGCTGTAGAAACTGTCACGTAAGTCCATTTTCTAGTGACATAGAAATTTCAATCTCACTATGGCCTATGAGATTAATTCCACCACTGGTTTTCACCTTGGAAATTTCCTTAGCAGTTGTGCAAATTGAATATTTATAAATTTCAAATTGAATATTTATAAATTTCAATTGAACAGTTCAGGTCACCGATTTTTCTGTGATCATGTTGTCATTTCCTTTAGTCTGTTTCACAAATGTCAGCGGTTAGTATCTTGACTCCTTAGCTCTGACTGGTGACTAACCATGTGCTTCTCGTCCCTTGATTCTACAAACAAAACACCACGAACAGAGCCAATGAAGAAATTGCTCAGGTTCGAACAAAAGCAAAGGCTGAGAGCGCAGCTCTGCACGCTGGACTCCGGAAGGAGCAGATGAAGGTGGAGTCCTTGGAGAGAGCCCTTCAGCAGAAGGTACCCAGAGGGGTGTGGTGTGACCAGAGAGACTCTTGGTCTTCTTCCTTGGCAGTGGCTAGCTTGTAGTGGATTCAGATGAGATAAGCCTTGTTTTTTGCCCAGACGCTTTGATCCAGCTTCTCTGGGAATTGATTCAGGTGGACACAAACAAGGCAACCCCTTAATTCCCAAGCATATGAATAGGAAACATCCCCAGTCAGGATGCAGAGGAAATTGCATTAAGTAAAGTTTAGGGGACCAGATACTTAGGCTCTGAGGCTACCTTTTTTTTTTTTATTTTTTCTTTTTTTTTAATTTTCTTTACTTATTAGAGAGATAGAATAAGCAGTAGGAGGGGCAGAGGGAAGAAGAGAAGCAGACTCCCCATGAGCAGGAAGCCTGCCAGGGCTCAGTCCCAGGACCCCAACCTGAGCCGAAGGCAGATGCTTAACTGACTGAGCCACCCAGGTGCCCCTGTTTTTTATGTGATATATGAAGCTATCATGCCCCCTGATTGCAACTTTACCCTCCAAGGGACATTGGCAACGTCTGGAAGTATATTTAGTTGTCACAACTGGTAGATACTACTGGCATTTCATGGGTACAGGCCAGAAATGCTACTGAACATCTAACAATGCACAGGATAGTCCCTATAACAAAGACTAACGCAACCCAAAGTGGTTCCACGGTTGAGAAATTCTGATGTAGGTAAGTAAAAATCAGGTCCCTCTTTTGCTATACTCAGTGATTCTTGGACTTCATTTTTTTGTATGCCTCTAGTAGTTTTTCTTACTGCATCCATTCAGCTAGGGCAAGAGTGACTATCATGGGGTTTGCTAACCCCTAAGCAGTATTCCCTAGGATACTCAGACTCCAGAATCACAGATCAAGGGGCTAAGGGGCTGAGTGGGGCCTCAGATAACAAGCATCACAGGTAATTTCTATAAGAAAATTTACGAACAAGGTGCATAGGACCAGTGGTTACCCTCATCCCCTGACTCAACTGGAGCATGACTTGAACAGATGAACATTTTTCAGGGGAGAAGTTTCCCTTTCTTTAAAGAGCCCTGACATAGAAGAGTTTTGAACCATTGAGCTAGGATCTTGAGGCAGAGTGTAGCCAGTCTTGGAACTATTTAATTGTCACTGCCTGGATCTCAGGATGCAGAGTGGCCTATGTCACTATGCCATTTGTCTTTCAGAACCAAGAAATCGAAGAACTAACAAAAATCTGCGATGAGCTGATTGCGAAGCTGGGGAAAACTGACTGAGTTTCCGCCCCGGTAGCTCAGCAGGTCTGCATCTGGCTGCTTTTCTTGTAACCACAGTTATCTTGCCTTATCCAGGAATAATTGTCCCTTTGCAGAGAAAAAAAAAAAAAAACTTTAAAAAAGCACATGCCTACTGCTGCCTGTCCCGCTTTGCTGCCAACACCACAGCCCTAGAAAGGAGCCCTAGAGCATCGCACAGTCCGGGAAGGAGTGACATCTGAGAGCTGTCCACTGACAGGTTTGGTCAGACAGGCCGCCAAGTTTGGGGTTGTGAGTTCTCCATCTTTAGTCTATTTATAAAAATCATCTTTTCTTTTCTAAGCAATTTACATTTGGGATTTTGTGGCTACTATTTGGGATCATCTTCTGTCTACCACCTGTCTGAACTTTTTTGGTGACCTATTTATTTCATCTTTTAAATCTAGCATTCAACATTAATGGTTTTATTTGAGGGGGAAAATAACTTAGCCTCTTATTACTTCTAGTTTTTAAACAAGGAGGGACTCTGAGTGCGCATTTCTACACACACACACACACACATACACACATTTATATATGCTGCTGGGTTTTTTTTCTCTGAACCATAGTCAAATAAGAGCTTCTCCACAGAAGAGCATATTTCCATAAATATAAAACCCTGTTTTGAAATAGAGTTGTGGCTCTGGATGCCAACCTCAGAATTTGGGGAATTGAAGGTGCAAAGACCACAGAGTCAGGGGAAGACTTTTTGCCACAGTGTTTCGTTGCCCTGGTATTTGGACACTCCTAAGCCTTGACAGGTGTGCCCTTTGGGGTCAGGCCTCAGGCTGCATGAAGAGCAGTGCCAATGGGGCTCCCTCAAAGCCAGGGTTTGGCAAGTCTGTCCCAGAGCAGTTCAGTTTCCTCTGCTTCTATTTGTTGCTAGAAAATCAATATTGACCCTTCATCATCTTTCTATTTGAAATATGCAAAGAAAATCTACTGGTAAAAGGTTTAGGCAGTCTCCTTTAGTTAAAAGGTAACTGTAACCCCGATAGCAATTATAAGGTGGAGAAACAGTGGAATTGTTTCTTGTTTTTTTTTTTTTTTTTTACAAGTGTTATACATTGTTCTTTGGATTTTTTTTTCTCTTAAGGCAAAAAAATCCTTTCAAACTTAGACTTTTTGACAAAACGAGCTATAAAAATCATGTGAACCACCCCAAAAATCAGCACATTCTGAATAGTGTTAAACAAAGGGCATTTGAATCCTGGAGGAGAGGAGTGCAGGGAGCAGAGCCACATTCACAATACCAAATTCCTTAGGCTCCTCTCCAAGTGATGAGGCTAGTAACCCCAAGAGGGAAACTTTCCATGTAATTCTAGTGAAGTCCCTTCCATTTGGTAGGCAAAACCAAATCCATGCAGTGTTTTGAACGCACTCTTTTGTCTTAATCTTACACCCTGAATATCTTCATGGTGACATGCACTGTATTCAGTACGTGTACGTTTTTGTAACTTTCTTGTAAAACTCTTGCATGATCCAACTTCAGCAATGAATTGTGCCTAGTGGAGAACCTCTGTAGATCTTTAAAAATGCATTTTTCTTTAGCAGTGTACTATTTACATGGGTGCAATCTTTAGCCCCAGAGAGGTCCCTAATGTCTTTTAAAGCTAGAAGTCATGTCTTACCAATATGCATTTATCGTAATTGGTGCTGAGGCTGTATTTTAAAGCCTACTGTCTTAATATTTTGTACAAAAAAGAACAATAGAAATGGTCTGTAGTTGGAGAAGTGACTTGACAATCATTTGGGCTTTGAAAGCAGTCAGTGTGGTTCAGTGTGAGTGCTGTGCTACAGTCACAGTATCAATGAAGTACAAGTGTCTCCAGTTGGTGGAACTGATTTCTCTTGGTCCTCCACTACTAGGGAAATTAACTTTGCATTTTGCAGAAAGAAATGTCGCTATACCTTTTTTGCTGCTGTGTTTTAATGAGATATCCATGTTTATTTGTTTTATATTGATCTGTATTAAGCATGAAAGGCTTAGAGTGGTCTCCATTCTAAATCCATAGTCCTCCATTTAGGTTTCTTTGGTATATACAAAAAATAGCTATGTGTTAAAACCAAGGTGACGACAATCCTTTCCTAGCACGCTGGTGGAAGAGACCCCCTAAGAAGACCCCAGTGAATGAGGTTGCTGCACAAGGACCATGAAAGGGCCCTGGTTAATTTGTGTTCACCACTGGCTTCTCAGCCATGGCCGTTATGAGGGAATGTGCTTCCTCCTCATTTAACAGACAGATATTCTCCAACAAGAATAAAAATGTAGCTTGTTCAGCTGGCAAATCAAGAGAATATCCTGGGCAGAAAGATGTGTGTTTGTTTTTCTTTAAAAATAAGCAAAAGGAAAAAAAACTTCCAAAATTCTAAAGAGTAAGAATGTAGCCTGGAGTTCTGCTTTTCATGGAGGGCCATGACAGGTCGGCAATAGTAAGCCCTGTTAATAAGAGCGTGCAGGGGAGGTGAAAAGAAGATAGGTCTGGGTGCATTAGGTGATCGGTCTGCCTGAGACTCTGAACCCAGAGCCATTTCTTAAGTTTTTTACTTTGCCAAAGTGTAGATAGATAGTCTTTATCTACAAGTATTTTAATGGGAAGATTCAGCATAAGACAGGCTGAACAGTTTGTCACTTGGTTGTCTGGGCGTTATAGTCAGACCTCCTGAGATTTACTTTTATTTGGAGAAACTCCTGGAAGCCAGTGACCTGCCCAAACCTTTTGTTCTGTAAAACTGTTCTGGAAATATTGAGAAGCCTAGTCTTCTCACGTGGTTTCTAGCTTCTTCAGACCCAGCCCAAATTAGGAAGTGCAGAAGCACATGATGGTGAAAAACTCTGAGGACCTGGCAGTCTTCCAGAATGATATGGAATCTAAGGGGAGATGTGTGTTTCGTTCTGGAGGTTAGCTCAAGCTGAGTTTTCTCCAGCCAGTTACCCTTCCTTCCTGTCCCACACTGTGCAACCCTCACACCGAGACTTAGATCTTTATTAGCCCTGAATTAGTGCTTTTTATAAATGGGGGCTTCAAGTGCCCCGAACGTTCCTGGGCTGACCGAGCAGCCAAAGTGAAGCACTCTTTTGAAATAAAGGCAGGTAACAGAAGGCTCGGCGGTGGCTCTACAGCTCAGAATACAGTTTTAAAGAGCAGGCATCGGTAGGCCTGGTATGCCGTGCTTGGGGATGACTCAGGACGCTCTTTTTCGGTGGGGCAGAAGCTCCTAAGGTCCCTGTTTGTTTCCTCTGGTTCTGCACAACAACCAGTAGCCATCTCCTGAGTCGTTCATAACTGTCCTTTTGTAGTCTCGTGACCTTGCAAGCTTGCTCTGGGACTCAAGTTTCTTACTTTATCCTCTGGTGGGGAAGAGAGAAACTAGGTGTTGAAAGATTAAATGATTCAGGCAAAGGATTTTAAAGTAAAGATGTATATATTCTAAAGAATTTAAAAGATAACAGATTATTATTTGCTTATTAAAAAATAGACTATAGTCTGGGAATCCCAGAATGCCAAGCCAAAGGTCTAAGAAGTCATCTTCTTCAAAGATTTTAATAAAGTAGCATTTTGAGGAGACTTCCGTCCAAAAAAGGTTTGACTAGCCTCCAGATTCCAGTGGCTTTAGGAAAGCATGTATCATTCAAACCTCAAGTCTCCCGCATAGTGAAGGTAAAGGAATCAATACGGTAGATGCTTCTCTCTAAGGGTCTCCTCTGGAAGATGATGTCAGGGGCAGCATTTCCAGTGAAGACCCATGCCCGCGTGCCCAGAGCCAGCATCCTGGAGACTAAAGATTGCACTTTCCGTAGTTCTTCGTCCAAATTGCAATCCCATTTCTGTGCCTCTTAGCATGCAGTTAGATTTGGACAAACAAGATTCCTAAGGAATGACTTTATTAACTATAATATGGTTACAGCTATTACATATATCTCTATATTCTGGTTATAGTTCTAATATGGAAGTGGTGCGTGTGACGCTGGCCTGGGGCAAGTCCCTATTGCTCTTCAGCTCATTTGGAGGAGGCCGGGCACAGAGCCGAGGTGTGGCTTAAACCCTCCCCTGTACCCATTCTTCACTGTAGAGCTGTGAAGGTGTCACTTGACCCCCTCTGCCTTTTAGTGGTATCTGAAATATACACAAAGAATGTCCTAGTCACACTGTTATCCGATGTTCTGTGAATAATTTCCACGTGGACATATACCAATTTGAACTCCGAAGCCACCCCCAGTCCAGGTACAGGGCAGCCTGCAGGTTACCCACCACACGCGCATCCTCCACATGGTCCTTGTCACCCAGTGGGACAGGGTCCAAGCATTCCTTTTAAACCTCAGAGGTAGCAGTAAACCTTTCAGTGTTGCTGTTAGCAAGTGTATATTTGCCAATAGCTACCCATTTGTACTCACATGCCAACAAATAAACATCAGCTGCACATCTGCTTCCGCTTTGTCCCTTCGGGTGCCGTGACATGTGTGAGGAGCCTCTCTTCTGTAGGAGCGAAGCTGCATTGACTACTGCTGTCAGGATTGTGTTGTGTGGAATAATCATCTACATAAATTTTATATGCACAGTACTTTCCCTTTTATATGTCAGGTAAATATTTGTAAAAGTTATACTCACACAAATGAAATTATTATAATGATTACTAATATATTTTTTCCATGTTTCATTGCCTGAATAAAAACTGTTTACCACTGTTAGATCTGGGTGTGTGAATGTTTTTCCCCCTGGTTAGAAGTCATCTTATCCCTAAGTGTGAAAATTTATGACAGCCTTGCTTTTAAGAGCTCCATATTTCAGTCTAAAAATAGAACAGATGACATTTTCACTACACTCATTTTGTGAAATTTTATGCATTTGGTTGGGTGCATAATTAAAACAAACAAACTTTGGAATTCAGACCTTGCCATATAAATTTCCATGCCTTCGCATCTGTGCAAACAGAGTTTTTAATTGCATGCTTTTTGGTTTTGCTTAGAGCCGGCTTGTCTGCCCTGGCGCTTTTCAAGTCCTGAGAACCTAAGTCCCCTCGAGCTCTCGGACTCATCGATGGACACAGGATAAGCCAGGACTGTGCAAACAGTCCAGAGAAAATAGAACAGCCCAGAGAAAATAGTTCACGTTTTGTGTTTCTTCTAGGTTAACAAACACCAGGCTGGGCCAACTCTGTGCTTAAAGTGAGAAGGGCCTGGGCAGGAGACTTTGTGAGTTTTATTGCAGGAAAAGATCAATTAAAAGGCTCGTTAGGACTCCACTTCACAACTTGGTGGGGGGCCCAGTGAGGACAGTCCGAGCACTGTCACTTTCTTGAGACATTGCAGCCTATAAAGCTCCTAAAAAGAATGTTTCTCACTCGTGTGCTCCTGAACTGGCAGGAGGGAATCCTATAAAAGGACAGAGAGGAGGTGGCACTGCCTTTCACTACACACTAACGACGGTAGAAATCTCATGGATCTCTACACAGTATTGGGAAGAAGACAGAAATTACCTTCCTACTCTTACAGAGTTTTACTCTTAGATAATAATGAGACCAAAAGTGATTTTCACACTTCTGCAAATATGAGATCATGGGATCCTGAGTGGCAATCAGTATTTTTGTAAGGGAAACCATGACAGGAGGTAAAGTATCACACAAGTTAAGGATGAGTAGTGTTTCATGAGATCTGTTTCAGATCTCATGTATGTATGTACTGTGTCATGGTGAAGTTAATTTCTTGCTATGACCGATGGTCAAAGTATTTTAAAAACCAGCTGCTAACATGAGTCCTTTTGCAACTATGGAAACTGAGGCCCGGAGAGAAATGTGGCCAAGATTACATAGTGAACATAGTTGCCCTCTTTCAAAATCGGCAGCAGAATTGTCACTCCATCCTTTGTCCTTTTCAAGCTCTTTAAATCCAAGTCCTTCCAGGTTTGGATAATATTGTAGACATTTCCAGATTTATGGGTATTTAAGGACCAGTCAAAATGCATTTATTCACTTAACCAAATGCTTCTGCCTCTGCAAGAGTCTAAAGTGAAATGTGCAAAGTTTCTGAGGCTCCTTAGTGAAAGAGAAATTGTTTTCAAGTTTGACTGAACCGCCATTGAAATATGAATGATATGCTAATTAAAACTTCTTTCCCAGCGGAAAGCTATTCCTAATCCACAAGTCTTTGCCCAGTTGTGATTTGTAGATCATTTTATCTAAGTTACGTGCTTGAGGATGGGGACACCGTGGTGCTTACAGTTTAATCAGGAGATAAACCTAACCCCCAAACAGGACCAGATGGTGTGGAACTGTCTGCGCCGTAGCAGGCGCAGAGTGCTGAGGAGTCCAGTCTCCCTTTCAGCTGATCTTTGTAATGTCATCAGTTTTCAGCAGAAGAGGTCTAAAATGTATTTCCTGCAGCAGCTTCCGATGCAAATATGTGTGAGTGTTCACTGGGGGGCGCCACTCAAACTGCAGGTTAAAACCCTCTTGGGAGGCTCTGAACTAGAAGAGAGCAGAGTGGGCTGTAAGAATTAGCAGTGAGGGCAAACTGAGTTTAAAGTATTTTAAAAATAAAAATAACAAAAATAATAAATTTATTTCCTAAATTATTATTATTTTTTTTTAATTAGCAGTGAAGGGAAGCGCCAGCTGTGGAACTTTTACCTCACATGTACCTGTGGGCACTGGGTCACAATGTCAAATGTTTTAGGTTGGGGGTCTGAAAAGCTACAAAAAACACAAAAGTTTGAAAGCCACTGACTGCAGGTTATGGGGCAGGGGGGTTGTGGAATTACAGTGTTTTATGGGCGTGAAAAAGTACTCAGTTGCTATGCTCCTCTTTTAAAAGTAAGCTACAGTTAGAACACTTAGTCACCAACAACCACGGTTTATAGTAACTTGAAGAAATCAAACCTTTAGAACAGGAACATGAAGCTGCAATTCACAAAACAGGACATAATTAAAATTCCTTCCTAATCGGTCAGTTGAGAGGGGAAGACAAAAGGAAATTAGGGGGAGAGCATAAAGGAATAAAATAACCAGTGAGCCCCGAAGTGCTCCAAAAAAATAAATTTCTGTTTTACACGAGAAAAAATAAAATTCTTCTTTCCTGCCTGGGTCCCCAGCACACTGAACTCTTCCCCACTCCCTTTGGCAGCAGAGGGTAGGCTACTTGGGTTCAGAGCCCTATTCTTGCTCTGCTGCCACTAATAGCTACCCTGATTCACATTCGAAAAAATGAAACCTCCTCTGTTTGGAGCATGACTTCTCCATGATTGCAAGTTCTTATGCTAAACTCCCTCTGCGCAGTTCAATTCTGATTAGAAATTTGTGCATATGCAGTCAATTCCTGAAAATCTTAACTAAGGGTGGGTGATTTTCTGTTATGAACACCACGCTTCAACTGAGTGACCTCAAGCAATTAGGATACTTGGGTGAGATGAGAAAGTGACTAAGTCATTAGGTTACCATGTGTTTTTAGAAGTGTGATAAAATGTGAAGCTGAATCCAAGAGTTTGAGTTGATGAGATAAAACCCAAGGAAAAAAAAGTTTCACCACAGCCTCACGCAGGTGGAAATCAGAGAACTCCAGGGGTCTGTTGGAATAATTGGTCAGCTAGAATATCTGTTGAAACAACCACTAGCTTCTCCAAACATTTTAAATAAATTTTTAGAATCATTTTAGATTTGCAGGCCAGTTGCAAGGATTCTCTAGACTTTGCTTCCTTCTTTTGTGGTCGGCTCTCTACTTCTGCCCTTCCCTATTTCTTATCCCACCATTAACAGCATTCCAAGAAGGTCTGAGTATTTACTGAACATTTACTATGTGCTGAGTCCTGGGGAGGTGCTGATGGGGGGAAAGCCATATCCATCTCCTCATCCCTCTTCTTCCCTAGGGTTTTCCCCTCCTTTTTCAAGCCTTATTGTACATTTGTGGTATGTTCCACAGAGGGGCAAGGAAGGATGATGAGTTCACCCCATTTTAGAAAAAAGCATCACTATGGTTATAGGCAGTGGTATCATGGGCAATCTCTTTTCTAGTAAGATACATTACCTTAGTACATTTTCTTAAGACTTATTTGAGAGAGAGAGAGAGAGCAGAAGGAGGGGCAGAGGGAGAAAGAGAGAGAACATTGCCAGCAGACTCGTGAGGCTCCATCCCGGACCCTGAGATCATGACCTGAGCCTAAATCAAGAGTTGGAGCTTAAGCGACTGAGCCCGCAGGTGTCCTGGTAAATTTTTTAAAGCTATGTATGATAATTCGCCATAGATGAGAGAAAGGCCCCTTTCCTTTTCCTCCCTGCATCATGTTTGCAAAGCACCTGAGTGGGCTTGAGAAGAGAGCTGAGTCCCCTCCCTGCCAGGGCTCCCACGGCCACCATAATACCACGGACCTCTTTCTTCAGCATAAAATAACAGGAGTTCAGATTCACTCTGTGACTCTGTGTTCTATTTATTTATTTATTTATTTATTTATTTGTTTATTTATTTATTTATTTTTAGGTTATATATTTATTCATGAGAGAGGCAGAGACACAGGCAAAGGGAGAAGCAGGCTCCTTGCAGAGAGCGTGATTGGGACCCAGGTCCATTCTGCTGCCACAGCTGTTCTCCTAATTCTTTTAGTCATAGTTCTGCGGTGAAAAAATGCTTTTTATGGAATTCTTGTTTGAGAGTCTCCTATCCAAATGAACATTTGCCTGATCCCTAGATGAAAGCAGATTACAAACAAAAACACAGCTGTACCTCTGTCTGTCTGATTTCAGGACCTTGGCGACCACAGATCCATGATCTTCAGGGAAGACAGGGTTCCCTCAACTGGAGGCAAACCTTTTGTTCTCTCTGGGGAAGGACATGAGTGAGGGGGAGGGAGGCGTGTAGGCCAAGAGACAAAGCAGGCAGCATCTGTAGATTGCAGCTGGGTAGACTTCAGTCCTGTAGGTGGATCAAATTCTGGGCCTGTCTGCTTTTGGACACCCATCTGCCATTTTCCTAATTCTGGAAAATTCCCACTGCTGACCTATGAAATTGACCAATGCCAGTATAAGATAATCTGACAGTTTTCTAGCTTCTCTAGAGAACATATCCTGTAATGTGATTCTGATCACGTTTTTTGATCAGTAGCTATTATTTAGACTTATTTATATTTCCATTTTGTTCTAAAAAAGAATTGAAGGCAGTTTACAGGCAGGGTGTAAAACCATTGGCATCACTTAAGATCTCAGTTAAGACTGATGATGATAAAGGACTCAGTTGATGCAGTTGGTACCAGTCATTGCCACCCACCCACATGACAGGCTTGGCCAAGCCAGCCATCAGTCTGTCATCACTACAGATTGAATCTTTCTGAAAAGATTTACCAAGTTACTCTTCTAAAATGTCTCCCTTTTGCCTGTAAACCATTTGCTACTTAATTCAACGTCTCCCAGACATCCATTGTATGAGAAGGACCAGGTTAAAGGTTGTATGAACAAGGCATAATTCTGGCCTTTAATGTACCTGTTACCTAATTCAGGTTCAGCAAATGATGGCTGGGGCTGAATCTGCCCTACTGCGTGTTTTCATAAAGCCCTCCAATCTGGAAGTGGTTTTTATATCTTTAAGTGGCCAAAAAAAAAAAATCAAAAGAATACTTCATGTCAAGTGAAAATTATATTAAATTCAAATTTCAGTATTGGTATATAGAATTATATTGTAACATGACCACTGTGTAACCTCTGTGGCAT